ACACACACACACACACTTGCTCAGCCGGTGTTACTCAAACACATTCAACTCCAAGTCAGCAGTCTCCTCCAAGACATGGAGAAACATGCAGCGACACATGAATCAGTATGTGTAACCAAAGCTTGAACATGCAGGTATTTCTGAACACATCATATCAGCTTCATCACCTTTTACTGGAAGTCAGATGACACACACACACACACACACACACACTTACTCATGACAGAACACACACTAACACTTTATAGCATGATGGGTTCTAGGTCTACTCAGTTTGGAAGAGTCATAGTTTACGTGGGGTGGCATCAGAAAAGGGACGACTGACTTTCTAAAGCATTTTTGGGTGACTAACAAGTTACTCAGACAAACTTTCAAACACAAAACCCACACACATCACTGTAAGGCTTTCAAGATGCAAACTAGAGGCGCGTCTTAAAAGAACACACGTGTGATTTTGGCGAGAACCACAAGGAAGGGGAAAACAAGCGGATAGCACACACACATTGACTCGTTGTGGGTGGTAAAGTGAGCTCACACAAAACAAGGTTAAGCCAAGTGTGGAGATACAGAGAGCAGCCGCTGACACAGAGCAAGGCTTGAGTGTGTGTGAGAAATCAGTAACAGGAAACAGCTGGGGAGCAGGCTAGACTTATCTGCATATGGATTTGAGTCAGGTTTATTTAAATGTCTCTTGAAACAGATACACCGTATATTCCCCCTCATCTCATTTTCCATGAGGTAAAAATGTCACTTCGGTGTGTAGCCTTCCAGCAGACACTCCTTTACATCTCTCCGTGTAAGAGGTGAGACCTTGCAAAGTAACGTCTGAGTCAGCTGCCTGATCCCATTCAAAACAATGACATCAATTGTTTTGTATGCAGTCTACACACTTTCTCTCACACACACAAAACGTGATTATATACATGTTTGAAAATCATTTTTTGGCCATTTGCAACTTCATTTCCTGTCTCATCTATCACTGTCCCAATTAATAGAGAGAACAGGATCGGGAGAGGACACAACAGATCAGAGAGGTTTAAGGATAGAAAATACATTTCAGGAACGTTCTGTTTTTCTTTTTAAAGAAATTAATACTTGTATTCAGCAAGAATGTATTAAATTGACTTAGAGTGATATTAAAAAGACATTTATAATGTTACAAAAGATTTCCATGTAAAATATATGCTGTTCTTCTGAACTACCTTTTTTAAGAATCCTGACAAAAAAAAAGTTCAGTTTCATGTATCATTGATAAGCATTTTGAACACAAATGAGCATATTAGAATGATTTCTTAAGGATCGTGTGACACTGAAGATTAGAGCAACTGCGGAAAATTCAGCTTTTCAACACGGAGAAATTACATTTTAAAACATTACAACAGAAAATATGTAATTTTTTTTAACAATCTCACATTGTTTTTACTGTAATTTTAATCAAATAAATGCAGCCTTGGTGAGCATAAGAGACCTTTGAACATTTAAAAAAAAAATCCTACTGACCCCAAACTTTTGAATAGTAGTGTATATTTCCTCTTACAAAACAGGATTTAATTAGAGTTTAATTTATAAATAAATTCAGTGTCAAATGGGACTTTCTTCATAATTTACTGATTAACAAGAGTCTTGGTGTCTTAAGGGTGTTTATGATATTTAACCTCAAAAGCTTTGCTTTGTTTGACCTAATCATTTTAAATTTTGAACTAAAAAATATATAAAAAATATAACTATTATATAGTGAATAAACAAAATTTACATATTCATAACACATTCATGCTACAAATAAAATACTCAAAAATGCCTTCCAAAATCTTAACTAGATTCTAGCGTTACTACACTAAGGAAAGTTAAATAACAAGAGAGCTCTCACTGTTCTGAATTCTTCATGGGAAATTCATTTTATGTACAGATACAGTGTTTTACTAGAGCAGAGCCTTGGAAAGTTGAAGATGTCATTTTCAGCACAGCTATGGAAGTTTTAACAGCCTTGTTCTAAAATTGGATATTAAAACTAGAAGCGTGTTGAAATGCCTCTCCTGTTCTGATGGCCATATGGTCACACTGTCGGCCTGTATGACAACTTTATAGCGAAAATTCTGGTTATTTCCACTGTGGGCTGACTACCCTTGAAAAGACTCCATAAGAAACAGTTGCAACACAATTACACAGCTGGCCTTTGCTTTTATGAACGTGTGATCCTTGGAGTTGGTGATTTTTGTACATGTAAAATGGTTCTTCGGTCCAAAAACAAAAAGAAAGAATGGTACCATGTTATGCACATAAATGTATATATATTAACTGTATATGTACTGTGTTGCATTGTTAACATACACTATGTTCAAACATTTGAGTTCAGACAAAGAAAAGAAACCAGAGAGTGACCTTGGACTAGTCTTCCCTCAGTCCTTCGGTTTCTTCAGAGCCATTAGAGGAGAGCAGGGGAGAGGAAGGTGAAGGGAAGGATGAGAAACTGGGGCTGAAGGGGGAGTGGATGGATGGATGGATGGAAAGCAGAGCTGGGGGGAGGACAGAAGTGATGCCCCAGGGGGTGACAGGGTGGGGCTCAGAGGGGGAAAGTGCAGAATTGAAAATGATGAACTATGAACAGTGCCTGGAACACAGCCTCAGGACATTTATACACAGCCATCCAAACCCAGCAACCGTGCGCACACACACACGGACAAACAGTATACCAAAACTATTCTAAACCATTCATATAAATGTTACTGTTATTATAATACAAAGACCAGAGAACACTCATACATATATACATTTTACTTTGCTGTGTTATTGAGACATCTACAGTTGTACCATTTTATTACAATTATTATATTATTAGTACTATAACTTATTTTATTAATATTATTAATAATATATTTTAATATCATGCTCATCCAGAACACTGCTGCCAGGATTCTGACTAGAACCAGAAAATCTGAGCATATCACACCAGTCCTCAAGTCCTTACAATGGCTTCCAGTTATATTTAGGATTGATTTTTAAGTACTTTTACTCGTTTATAAATCACTCCATGGCCTAGGACCTAAATACATAGCAGATATGCTCACTGAATATAAACCTAACAGACCACTCAGATCATGAGGTTCACACAAAACAAGGGGAGTCCGCTTTTAGCTATTTTGCCGCCCGCAGTTGGAATCAGCTTCCAGAAGAAATCAGATGTGCTAAAACATTAGCCACATTTAAATCTAGACTCAAAACTAATCTGTTTAGCTGTGCATTTATTGAATGAGCACTATTATAGTTTTTATTTTGATAGATTTTCTATTCTATTATAGTTTTATTTTGAATACGTTTTATTTTTACATTATG